AGACGCCAGTCACGCTGCCCTGGGCACCCTCCACTCGCTGGTACTGCGCCGCGCCGAAGCGCCGACCGGCCGATGGCCCCGTGGCCGCCGCAATAATGTTGTGGGCTGCACGCTAGCAGAGCAACAAGAGGAGAAAACCGGCACAGGGCAGGTGGTGAAAAACAAAACAGCTGGGTTTTGGTGAGCAAGACATCGTCGCGAGCGTGCGCCGTGGCAGAGCAGGCGCGCGGCCGCCTCTAACCGTAAGCGATATACTGTAGATCATCGACGGGAGGGACCAGAGAAACACTTGCCCTTTCTTTTTTATTTGTTTTTGTTTTTGTCTTTCGTCTTTCCTGCGATTGCCGCACCCAACACGTCCATTTAATGGTCGCGCGTAACATACCATACTCACGGAGCGTGTTGACCCAGCTGCGCCCGCCGCCCCTCGACGCTCGGTTGTCCGAAGACCAAAACGTGCGCAGCAGGCAGGGCGGCTTGGCCATGAGCGCGATGTCGTTCGCGGAATAGAGTGCAGGCCCGCACTTCTCGAGCGGCTTCTTGTCCTCCTCCTTCTCAATGTTGGCGTTGTCGGCCAAGGTCTGGGCGTTCTTCTGCTCCGCCTCCTTCTTGCGGCCGTTGTGCTCGGCCTTCACCAGCTAGGGGAATTCCTGCTTGAATCGGTCCGCGGCAAGCTGGGCGGCCTCGCGCTTCGCCTTGTTCGATGAGACCTGCCGTAAGGCGCACTGATCGAGGACGCGAAAGTGAGGTTGCTGTGGCGGCTTGTCTTTGTCCTTTCCGGCGAAAGGAGGCATGGCTTCATTCTTTGGTCTCTTTTCCCTGTCAATTGGAAACCCACACCTCCACGCAAGGCTCTCACTTTTTGTTGGCTTGATTTTTTCTTTGTTTATTGTTTGGTTGGGGTTGCCCCCGTCAGGTGGCATCGAACGAGGCGTAGCCCGGGGGCGGGGCGGGAGGGAATGGTGGGGGAGCTGGAGAAGGAGTTTGTCAGCCCGAAGAAGTGCGGAGTCTTCGCCGCGAAGGGTTTCGTGGTGGGCAAAACCTTCAAATCGCAGCGCAAGGAGGGCTGCCGCCCGGCGGTCAGCGCCTCGTACCCGGGGTGCGCCG